TTTTTTTTTTTTTTGGTTCTTTTTTCTATTTGCCTTTAAACTATAAGAGAAACTGCTTTTGCAATTTGCATCATTCCTTGAATCATTTTTGCAGTTCAAATCTAGACTAGAGCAAATATTCACTTATCAAAGCACACCAACTAATGTCAGTTTGATTTTTAAATTTCACATATTTGTTCCCCAATATTTTGGCTTGTTGAACTGAACAGGTCCCCCTAGGTATTAGAACTTAGAACCAAAGAGACAATATTTAGTTATCTCTTAATTCAAATCCGAATATATATCCGTTTCTCACCTTCACAATATTCATTACTGTTTTAGGTTGATCAAATAAGAGACCCTGTGGCTGATTCAACTTACAAGGATATATGGATGGCAACTGCAAAGGTGAAGCTTCTGAGTGCCAGCTAAAATATCAAACATTTATTAGTTTTTTTGGCCATCCAATAGAAGATACTAACAATAATAATTATAATCATAATCATCTCACCAGACAAATACGATGATCTACCAAGACGTCTTCTCCTGTATACCCAACGATCTGATACACACAAGGTACATTCGAGCTATATACCTATCTACATTTGTTTTTCTTTTTCCAAATTTTTTTAATCCCCTTGCGGTTGCACGCAGGGCTTCATTACGACAATCCATGAGCTTTTGGAGGGAAAAAATCGGGCATACGACCACGGATTTAGGAATAGCTCCCGAAAAGTTAGAAACCTTCCAAAATGGAGACATTACGGGCACAGATCCTATGGAGAGGCTGAAATCCGTGAAGGGACATCTTGTTTCGTTTCCTTTGGATTTTATGTGCAAAGAGGATTTGAGACCTGTGTTTAACGAGAGTGAATATTACGCGTCCCCTCAAGTTTTTCATTGAGGTTGGGCCAGACAGCCGAGATTGGACCGCAATTTACTCTGTCATACTTGTCCAAAAGTGGTATTGTTGTTGTACTGACGACATAGCATATGAATGAACCACACATCAAAGGAAGAAAGTTGGGGAGATATTTTATAAGTAGAGGTGCACTTGGGAGCTTTTAATAATACCTTTACTACATTTTTCTGATTTCCAACTTTATGCTTACTTACTTATTTCTATATCTTAGTGTATTGGATATACAATATAGTGTGGCTTGGGGTCCATTGTTTTGGACTGTGGATGTGTTGTATTAAAAAATTGGCATCATAGCATGTTGAATTTTCTAGACAAACCTCAAAGCTCTGGTTCATTTGTGATTACAGATTCAATGTAACCGTCCCAAGCTCTTGTGATGTAATAAGTAATGTCTGAGTAAATGCAACACAAACTACCATAAGAGCAACTTTAGTAAGCAGGTTTTGAGAGGTTTAATACTACAAAGCTCACAGGTATGTGGTAAACTCAAACCTTACTCGAACCTTATTTTAAAAATAACAACATAGATAAAATGCATAATGAAAATGCAGTTTTTGTAACACCTCGCTATTTTACTGAAATCAGAGTACGCTTTTTCGCAAATTTTCTAAATAAAGTAAATAAAATATTTATTTTTGCGAAATCTGGTTTGGAGTGCTACCGTGAAAATCTGACTTTTCTGAAAATCGTTAATTTTAAACTGATAATAAAAACGGTTATAAATATATTAACCGACTAGTGTCGGATCAAAAGCTGAGTTAAAGTACTGAAAACTGGAGCGGAATAGTAGTGTAGCCAAAACATATATATACATATCAACAAATATCCTGAACAGCTCGTCAGCTCACTCCTCGTCCCCGACTCTGCCACTTGAAAAAAACATGAAATACGTGGGGGCGTGAGCACTAAAACACTGTGCTCCGCAGAAACTCATACTAAAATAAAATAGTGAATATAATAACAATATCATGATCCTGGTATATATAACTGAACTGAAACTGAACTGATAACTGATACCGGTACTGAATAATCTGATACTGATCTCGTGATATAAATCACTTGACTGATAAATGAACATCTGCCGGCACAAACTAATACCGGACACCATGTGCACACTCTAGTGGGCAGATTAGGGCCACTAGAACCCAGAATGGACCGGCAACCATTCCCAGAGGATACTGAATATACATACCTCAAACATGGTAGCGATATTATAATCAATGTAGTACTTAGTCTGAGTCCCCATCTGAACTGCTGAAAATGAAGGTAGTGCTGATGCCTGATCAAACTGAAAAATAATATAAACAATTACTAAGGACTATGCTCAGACTGATAAATTAATTGATTAATTATGTTA